CCACCCCCGCCAAAAAAAGAATCACTCTATGTATCCAAAAACCAGATGCATTTAGCAACATCCCAATTCCCACACTCAATAGAGTGAGCTGAAACCCACCCACACCTTTACCCATTAGACAATAGGTCCAAAACTTCCTGAAGTCTAAACTGAGACGGTGCCATGATTTGTGCTAAAGCCTTCTGTGTCCCTCTTGGAACATCGCCTGCCTCACCTGGAGAGATGTCATGTCGGGTCGGTACTGCTTGCGGAAGCCCAGGTCATACATGAGGAATTTCAGCATTTCAAAGGCTTGTTCTTCGCTCATGTGCAGAAGCAGGACTCCAGCCACGAAGCTGATCCCCTGACAGTAGCCCACCTCCTTGTCCAGCAAAGAATAGGCTTTCAGGAGGTTAAAGAGCGACAGCTGCCCTGCGCCCAGCTGCACTGAAAAGTAGGGGTGAGTAGGAAATGTCCTTCCTGCAGGGGAAAAGAAGGTGAAATGCTATTGAGATGATCCAGTGCTTTAGAGACCACAGTGAAGACGCAACTGAGACAGCTCCAGGAAAAATGAATTCTCACCCTCCGTCATGTGATGTATGCTTCAAGTGTCTGTCTCCTTTATCTGCCTCCCTCCTTCCCTGTCTCTTGTTTTGTGCCAGTCGTGGGGCTCAAGTAGGGCGCATGGACTCAAGTTCTTGTTTGGCCTTTCTGCTCAAGTCTGGAACTTTATCAGTTGAGCCACACCTCCATTTCCAGCCTTTTGCTGGTTAATTGGAGAAAAAGGTCTCACAGATTTTTCTGCTTAGACTGGCTTTAAACCATGACCCTCAGATCTCAACCTCCTGAGTAGCTAGAATTACAGGCGTGAGCCAATGACTTCCAGTTCTCTCATGCATGGCACTCTCTCTGTCTCCCTCTCCCTCTCTGTGTCTGTTTCTATCTCTCTCTCTTTATCTGTGTCTTACACACACACACAGACACACACACACACACAAAACCCAAGTTCTGACTGCCAAATTACCACTCTTATCTTCCCCTGTATGATATAAAAGCAAACAGTTAATGCTAAGCAGCTCTTCTTTCTAGCAAAAATAATAAAACACAATTTAAAAATCATACATAAACAATATAACCAGCAGAGACTGCAGGAGCAAGGAACATGAAATTAATTCTGAATTTAAATCAAGGCACATTCAAAATACCATTCTCTAACTGAATCCTGTAAGAGATACGAGATTATTCTCAGGAAATCTTGAAAGATCATAAGCAGATTACTTCTTGGTTTTATTTCTTCCTTCTTTTTTTTTATGAGGACACTGGAGGGATATGTTTTGATTTGTATTTACATGTAGACTATCATGTAGGAAATATTTGCTTTTAGGTCTCTATATTTGTCAAAAGGGGATTAAAAAGAAACAATATCAAGCTAACTTGAAATAAATTCCCTTGTATAGATATACCTTTGGATAAAGAATTATCATCAGCTAGCAAATAAACTCACTAAAAAGCTGGGACTTAGTACTGAAACTGACACATTCCTCCCCCAAGGCTGTGAATATAATATTTGGTACTTTCTTGTGATACAGAAATGAAGGCAATGTTAGCTTCCCTATGAAATAATTCCATGCATCAGAATTTGCAAGAGTGTCAGATTTCAAAATCATTTCTACCACAGAGGTTTAAAAGTGATTAAGTTTTCCCCCAGGAACTAGTCAGATGAAATCTGCAATATAATGAGGAGAAATGAGAAATTAACAGAAGCATGCAGAAACACAGCTATCTAACAAGTGGAGTCAGATAAGCAAGTTTTCATATTACCATCTTCCTTAATAGAGAAAAATATTTTTTAAATCATTCCATCTTTACTTTTCATAGCTTATGTGAAATCCAGCAAATGCCTTTAGAGATTCTGTTGTGGGAAACGCTCCTAATGCCCTGAGAACCAAATGCTACAGCATTAAGGTGAGGAATCCTGCATCCTGTAAGTGGTGTTAGCATAAGCATTATATTGCCTTTTTTCCCTGGGGCCTGGAAAGTTGCCCTTTCTTCCTTCACATAAGGAGTAGGCAGGGACCAACTGCCTGCCTGCAAGTTTACCTGCTACAATCCATTCTCTGTGAGACCCTAGACAGGTAACTACTCTTTGAACTACTCATGATCCTCCTGCTTCAGTCTCCCAAGTGAATGACCATACCTAACTCTCCCTCTCCTTCTCTACCTTCCCCCCCGTCTCTCTCTGTCTCTGTCTGTCTCTCTATGTCTCTGTCTCTGTCTCTCTCTCCTCTCTTCTCCTCTCCTCTCTGTTACCTCTCTGAGTATGTGTACTTGTGGCCATATACAACCCTCTCTGTTACTCTCACTTTTAAAAGTGACATCTAAAAGCTTATTTTCAGCAATATGTCTAGGAATTTCTTTTCTGTCAGAAACTCGATCATTGGCTGGTGCTCTACCACCTGAGCCACACCTCCAACCCCATAGAAACTCGTGATATGCCTTCGTGACCTATTTTGGTGCCCATCGGACCTGTTACAAAGCCAGCACTGATTATAATGTAATAGTGTATCTACACAAAAGATAGTTGTTCAAACTACAGTGACTGAGATCACTCCACCAAACAAAACAGTGATTGCTTTTTCCAGATTTCATTTTCTACTCAGGCATATATGGTATCTCCAGTTAGATACAGAGACAACTTACCCCAGAAAAGAAAGTCAGAAACTATGCAGATGCCCATAGATTTTCATCCACATCAACCAACACACAAAACCCAGGAGCCCATTTACTTTTGTAAGAAGCCACTGTGTGACAAACCTACCCAGATCCACGAGGATGGCGTGCTGCTGGGCAGTGAGCTGCTTGAGAAGTTCTTTGTAGGAGGTGTCGGGGGGCTGGTGTTTGTTCGGCAGCCTATGTCTCAGACGGTATTGCAAAGCTAGGAACTGCCAAATTTCTCCTCGTCGACTTTTAGGAACTCCTACGGACAGAGGAATACAAAACGCAAGGCCTTGGACTGTGGAAGGAAGTTTTTCCATCGGTGATCACCTAGGTTGCTGTACGCATCACCTCCCACCATACAGCAAAGTCCATTGACAGAATCATAGGGTGGCAAGTTAGATCCTAAAAGGGCCACCATCTTGCCAGACAGTCTTCAAGTCGCTGTAATAATGACACAACACACACAGTAACCCCCACCGCCCTGACTGAGCTCCTTGAGAGTACAGCCATTCAAAACACAACCCTGCAAGGTAAGCCATTGCTATTATTCCCACATTACACATAGCAAAGCCCAGACAGGATGAAATGAAGCCATCTACCCAATTCACATAGATGGTACAATAGTGTTTCTGAAACCCCTAAATGTATTCTACTTTCTTCTCCCTCATGGATCTTCCTGGAAGGTAGCCACAGATGCTCATGTCCGTATTATAATTTGTAAGTATTGGTCATCCACAAGTAACTCAGGAGAAGAGGTTTGCATAGCATTCTTATGTGATCATAAAATGTTGGGCCTGAAATCCAGCTCTGGAGAAGAGAGATCTCCAGGCTGTGAGTGTAGATAACAGTCACCTCCGGAAGCTGAGTGTATGAAGGTCTTACAGGCAGTAGAATGAAGACAGGAAAAGAGGAGGACAGGACAGGAGAGGGTGAGAGAGGCAGCAAGGGGAATGGAAGAAGGCAGAGAAGGCAAAGAAGGTGGGAAGGCGGGAAGGGTGGAGGGAGGCCTGGAACTGCTCACCCAAGAGCTAGCCCAGGACACACAGACACACATAGATTATCTCTATGAAGGGTAGGGAGAGGCAGAACAGAAGATAAGAGAGATGAAGGAAGGAGGGACTGTGCAAAGTCTGAACTGCATCCCTATGGACTAGGAGCCTGAACACCCTAAAAATCTCTGAAAGCAATAAGCAATCAACAAGGGATTTACTGCATCTACTAACCACTGACTTATCTACCACATGAAAAAAGGAAAAACCTTAGGATTCATAAATCTGCAAAGCAACACAGCAACCTAGGAAGCTTATAAAAGTAATACCTTGTAAAATAAATCCTAAATGTATCAACCCAAACTTACCTGTGCAATGGTTTTACACATGAACACAAGCTTTTATATGTTTATATATTGTGACAGGACTGGTGTTTGAACTCATGGCCTTGTACTTGGTAGGTAGGTGCAATCCTGTTCAATAAGGCCTCTAACCCTTTTTTTTTAATCCTCTTATTTTTCACTTCTTTTCATTACTGAGATGACAGGTGTGTACTACCATGCCCAGCTCTGTCACTGAGTGTCAAGAAATGTTTTGCTTAGGCTTCCTTGGAATCAAAATGTTCCTGATCTCAGCCTTCCATTTGCTGAGAAGGTAGATGAATGCCACTGGACACTGCTATTGGCTGAGAAGGGGTCTCCTGTGTATGACTGGGCTGGCTCTGAACGACATTCTTCCCCATCTCAGCCTCCCAAGTATCTAGGATTACAGGCATGAGCCACTGGTACCTGTCATATCACAGGCTTTTAAAACAAGACTATTTAAAACAAGATCTATTTCCACCCCAGGATCAGCATCTCCAGCACTGCCATTTCCCTATTAATCACATCACCAAACCACAGACTGAAATAAGATATTTTCATCTCTTGAGAGCTTGTTTGGAGGTTCTAGCAGGGGAGCGCAGCTACTCGTATACCCTTGACCGAAGACTGGTCCTCCTCTATCGGGGGTGGTCGTCCACTTCGACCTCGCGCGCAGCTTCGCGCGCAGCTTCGGGAGGGACGCACATGGAGCGGTGAGGGAGGAAGGGACACCCGCCTAGCCAGCCAGATCAGCCGAATCAACCCTGGCGATCAATGGAGTGACAGATGTCACAGCCAGATCGCCCTCACAGCCTATTTTCATCTCTTTAGAAGAAGAGCACAAAGATAAAATTATGTCTGAGCTGTACACAATTTCAAAAACCCCTGAGGCTTCTCTGATTGAAAAAGATTACTGCTTGGTGCTGGTGGCTCACTCTTGTAATTGCAGGTGCTCAGGAGGCTAGATGTATGCATCATGGTTTGAAGCCAGCCTGGGTATAAAAGTCCATGAGACTTATTTCTCTAGTCAATGGGAGATGTGGCGCAAAAGTAAAAAAGACAAGTGAAAGCATGAGGCTCTGAGTTCAAGCCCCAGGACCAGCACAATAAAACACATAAATCACTGACATGGTCGCAAATACCTTCTTTAAGAGAAGTATGGATATCTTCCATATCACATCTGATTTTAGCTCTACAGTTTAGCAGCTTCTTATCCCAGGTTATTAAAACTTCTTTCTGACACA